GCCCCCCCTCCACGGGTACTGCAGCCAGCCAGCGTGGCTGGCTTGGCCGAGAAATGGCACTGGCACCCCGGCAAACCCAGCCCGGTCTGAGCATGAGGCTGCACCGGGCGGCAGCGCGTTTCGCGGGCAGGAAAGTCCGCTATGTCATTTCTCCGGGCGGCGCGGGGCCGGGGGAGGCGTTGTGGCCGCGCTTCAGCCCCTTCCCCTCCCCGCAGACCGCTGCCCAGGGCAGAAGCGAAAGGGCTCCGCGGGGTCAGGGGGCCCTTTCACAGCTGCTTTTCTTTCCTCCGGCATGCAGGGTGCCGAACTCCCTTGTAGGGTGCTAGGCTCCCGGCACAGCCCCCACCCGGCCCCCTCCCGCAAGAGCCCTTCATTTCGGAGGCTGTAATTCGGCTGGGCTGCTTCGGCGCTTGCCGGAGGGAGCAGCAGAGAGCACAGAGAGGGTCTCCCTTCCCCACCTCCGTTCGCACTCGGAAACTTTCCAAAATAGCTATTCCGGGCTAATTATTCCATTCTGGAAGTGGATTAAGCTAAAGCGGAAAAAGGCACTCTTATTCTGGAATATGAGCATCCGCACAGGGGCCTCTGCTGAAACAGTTGTTTTGGAAGAGCTATTTTGGTGAATCACCAAGTATAAAAAGCCCCCCGGTGACCTCTTCTCTTCGTGCATCACTGCCCAACGTCTTCCCAAACACAGGGGGCACAGCGAGCCCACGGCCCCTCAGTTTTGCCCCTCCCAGAGCCGTAACTCGGGAAAAGAGAAGACTGGGAACTACTCGTTTAGGGGGGGGGACAAAGGGACTGCAAGAGGGTCCCTGCTCCCCGTTCCCCCCACGCTTTGGAGACAGCCCCTACCTGGCAGGCACGTGCAGTCGTAGGTGGTGTCTCCGATCTGGCGGCACGTCCCCCCGTTCTGGCAGGGCGAGGGGTTGCAGGGCACGTAGAGGTGCTCGCAGTTCTGCCCGGTGTATGCCGGCTTGCAGGAGCACTGGTAGGTGCCCACCTCGTTGGTGCAGCTCCCGCCGTTCTTGCAGACGGACGGCGAGATGTTGCACTCGTTCACGTCCTGCTTGCAGTTGGCCCCGTGGAAGCCGGCGGTGCACCGGCAGATGTAGTGGGCTTCGAAGGGGACGCACTGACCCCCGTTGGCGCAGGGGTTGGAGGCACAGGGGTCGGCCTGCTGGCAGGTTTTGCCTGGGGAGGGCAGGGAGAGAGGTGATAGAATGGTTTAGGTTGGAAGGGACCTTGAAGATCATCCAGTCCCAACCCCTCTGCCCTGGGCAGGGACACCTCCCACCAGCCCAGGTTGCTCCAAGCCCCGTCCAACCTGGCCTTGAACACCTCCAGGGATGGGAACACATTCCAGGGATGGGAACACATTCCAGGAGGATGAGGATGCAAACTGCAGCTCAGGCTCTTGGTGAGAGCCATCTTTGCGCTGGGGCTCAGACCCGGCTCTGGGACTGCGCTCACAGCGGGTGCAACTAATTCCCCCCACCTCCGCCCCCGTAAAACCCTCCTCACCCCTGCAGGAGTCTTGCAGCTCCCCCAGCCCGGCACCCTCCCAAGCCCCTGCTCAGGTGTGCAGACCCCCCCTCTCCTTTCCCCCAGCACCGGAGGAGGCTGAAATCAGAGGCAGCACCCTTCTCCATCCATGGGGGCTTTCCAGGAGCAACCCCTGTCACAGGCGGGGCCCCTCC